CATATTTTTTTGGAATCAGGGTTTTTAGCCAATTCCCCTATTTGAACTACCAGTGGTACACCAACCCGGTTATTACCCCGCATATCGGCTTTTCGGCCCCTCACTTTAGTGGGAAAACACCTCCGCCACGAGAAAGCAGTGAGTAGGACTTTCTCAACAGAGGCTATTCGAGACGCTTGGTCGTAAGCGAGCATTTCGCGAGATGCAAGGGAGTGTGACTAGCCGCAACCCAAGATATCCACCCCCGACCATACTGAGGCATTTAGAGGCACAGTCCCAAATAGGACGAAACAGCTATCCAGTGCTCTTTGTCGGTTATCACAAACATTCCCGTCGCATTAAAATGCAATAAACTAGCGGGGAATTAACTATCTCCCACACTCTAGACCATCAGGAGTGCCCGGTGCCTCTGAACAATCGAATGGGCTAAGCCAAGCTTGATACTCTAAAATTGCATCTTCCTGTTTCCGCATACTTTTTTGATCAAATAATACTAGGTGGGAAGAGGAGTGAATGATCTCATTTGGGAATGTAATGTGTAATGGCGCCGTGAGCACCACTTTCTCTTTTTATTTAGGCCTGCATCCCCTACCTTATCCTTTGCAAAACCAAGTGAAACCGAGAAGCAACAGGCGATACCACTCTGTCTCTAACAGTCGCCTCGATTGAGTTCGAGGTCCTCAACATCACCTTGACAAAGGTTCGTGCTCATGATGAAAGTGGTATACACAAACAGGAGTAAACAATATTATTGTATAGACCACAATATACGATACTTTTTGATTCTGCGCTTGACTATGAAAATAAATAATAAAGAGAAAAACAAATTAGGGAGGAATGTTCCACAATTTCGCTGTTCTCAGAAAAAGAAAAGGATTTTAATGTTGTCGCTAAAGGAGCAGTGCAATTCCTATTCCCACGGTCGGTTTGGATAATGCAAAAGAATTTTTGGGCCCAGAATAATTCAGTCGTAAATCAGCGAATGATTTGTCGAGGGTTGATTGATTATATTGAATGCTCGCCCACATACACACCGGTTTTTAATAAAGACCGTAAATCGGATGATTGGCAAGGGCATGTGTAAGTTCTTTTGCCGATATTTGAGTTTCAGAAGGGCGGAGCATAAAGAGGGATTTGAATTCAACCCAGCAGTGTACGGAATCAATGCTACCAATAAGTCCGCGAACATTCGTGAAGGCAGTCCGAGAGTGCGCAGTGTGAGCGCAGGACCTGATATGTGTTATTTGTAGACATCGGATGAATGGTTTTTGAAAAGCGGACAACCTTAACCTCTTAACTTGGTCTGTTGGGAATCATATGAGGCCTACATAACAACGACGTGGTATTACTCCAAATGGTAGCGGTTGTGCTTATCATCAGACGAAGTTTACTTCTGTTATTGACATGTTTTTCTTACTATTGGGCACCTCGAAACAGTTGTATTGTCGAACTCCATATCTGTCATAGAGCTGGTTAGCTAGCGAGTGAACCTATGAGAAATGATGTGAGATTGAATAATACACTTTTGTTTCAAAACGTGTGCTCCATGTAGTTGTTAAAAAACGTTTCTTCTTTTAGTACTTGCAATCGAGCACAATATGTCTCGTATCCAACTATTGGAACACAATGCAAAAATCTACGGTGTAGCTTCACGAATTTTGCTCATTTGTGGTGATGTGGAAAAAGTGCTCCGTTCTCTCCGACGGGAAACTGGGATCTCCGCCTCCGGTGAGACTGTGGAATCCGCAAATAACCCGTGCTCCTCACCAGACGAGAGCGTCAAACAATCGATTGGACCCGTGTTCCCAATAGTTTTTATGTCCCCACCTTGGGGTGGTCCAGGCTATACGGGTGTCGTTCTTCCACCCGGTTCTAGCAGCTGGAATACCAGAAAACGACGTCAATGGTTTGCTCTGTCGATGAATGCCGTGGAGCCGACCAAGAACTTGGAGGAATTGT